TGGCCCAGAACAAAAGGGACACACATGATATGTATTCTTTCTCATTTCACAGCACCACAACCCAACATCTCTGAACGATTTTTCCTTTACATTTTGTTTCGAACTGATTTTAATCAAGCGATAAACATATCAAGTTGCTACCTTATTCTGCCCGAAGATAAAGAAAGCCAGCTATACTATTTAACATATTGTAAAAATTGAAAATGCAAATCACCAAGATTTCTCAGTTAACTTTGGTTGTTTGGCATTGTTGCATTTTTTTTATTTTGATGTAAAACAATTCTTGGTATGCTGGTGGCAAAACACAAATGGAGACAAATGACAGTTTATGGTTGTTAATTAATCAACATTTAGTTTATGGTATTTTTATAGCTTTATTAGAAACAGGGAAAGGGAAATGTTATTATACAAAGTAGTTTTGTTCCAAAGGGCACAAATACATTGAGCTAAAGCGAAAAGAAGGACCAAAAAGATAATGGATAATAAGTAGAAATGTTCATGCACTTTATAATACACATGGACTAGATAAGCTTCCAAAGGATGACAATCACACAGAGCCACGTACCTTGGTAAGCACATATTGCCATTTGCATCGGATGGATTCATAAACAGCCACGGAAAACTGCCCAGATATTACCCTTAAAATTTTGAACAGGGACATTTGCCCATTATTTACGCACTCCGTCGTGCTGTTAGTTGTTGTTGTCCATTTTACAGCTAAATATAATCCAATGGTCATCCAAAATCCTAGAATACTTCCCTGTCCTTAACTCTCTTCTCAGAAGTGTCGACTGGCTTCAATGGTGTGATGAGGAAATTTTTTCTGGTTTTTGTTTTTTTGGTCCATCCACCCCTAAATTTATTGCGGACATCTTTGAGAACAATAGGCCCAGCGCTTCTGAGACTAACCCTACCCATGTGAAAACTCTCGTGAGGATCAGACTATAATTGCAGACTGTATATAATAACCCCAACCTGTGTTGTAGGGTTATATGGGGGATATACGATATTATGGACCGATATAGGCCATCTTTGAACTTGACCTGCCTGCACATAAATACTGAGCTGTGCAAAAATTTAGTTCCCGATCTTAATTCCTTTTGATTCTAGCGTGATTACAACAGATCGACTTCAAATGACCTGAGACCGATGATCTTAAACCGTTATTTCGATGAGGCACGTTTTGGCGGTATCAAATGATATGGTATAATTAGGAAATATTTTCGGTACAATTGATGCAAATATTTTCTTGAAATATAGGGGAAACAGAGGTTTGTTCTTTGTAGACTTATAGAGAACATATCGCAATGTTCCATTCGGCCAATACTGAAAAATGAGATCGGGGTAAAGCCATTGAAATTCCAAAAAGTTCAAGAACTTACACTTCAACTGAATGAAAATAGTCTCAAAAGAGCTAAGAGAAAACATTTGTTGTCCAGCACTTTGTAAACAAACCAAACGATCGTGAGGTCAGCTGAAAATGTGCACCTTCGGTTGGCCACCAGAACTCAAGCGCCGGCCATGGCGGTGGTGTGTGCCGCCATAACAACCGATACTCGCACTCCGCTCGCATTAATCGACCGTGACATCAGATTAAATGCCGAATATTATCACGAAAATATTCTGGAGGGTGTATTAAACCTTGGGCACGCAAACATTTTGGTCGCAGACTTTGGACATTCCAATAGGACTAAGCACCATCGCCAATCCGTTGGACTATTTTTTCTGGAGTATTTTGGACACGCAAACATTTTGGTAGCAGACCTTGGACTAAGCAACATCGCAAATCCATTGGACTATTGTGTCTGGAGTATTTTGGAAACTAAGGTTGGGACTAAAAAATACCAAAGTGTCGATCACCTATATATATATATATATATATATATATATATATATATATATATATATATATATATATATATATATATATATATATATATATATATATATATATATATATATATATATATATATATATATATATATATATATATATATATATATATATATATATATATATATATATATTTAAACTGCAAACAAACTATTTTGTTGGTAGAAATATTAGGATGGGCCAAATAAAAAAAAGAATAGTATGCTACGTCATTGTTATTCAAAATTTTGATCCGCTGTGGGAGTGTGCTCCGAAAAAATAGATTTTTAAAAATTTCTGATTCTAGACAAAATGTTCATTAAAAAATTTTAAAAATCCATGTCAAATCATGGCAAGACATTACGAATAAATGTTAAAAATCCAACCAAAAATTATTGATTTTGCAAAATAAATAAAATCCATGACAAATAAATAAAATTAAAATAAAGAAAAAATCTTGGTCACGAAAAATTACTCATAAGAAATCTAAATTTTTTTAATTAAGAAGTTCCATGGAAAAAAATAGAATCCTAAAATCGTGATTCTTGGCTAGGTGAAAAAACTTTCATATTTAGAGTAGATTAAGTAATTTCAAATGTTGCTGTTGCAATAAATCGCAATCATACACTGACCTGAAATCTTTTTTCCAAATAACTTAATTCTGACTTGTTCTTTTCTTAGTCAAATAACTCACCCATTAAATTAATTATATAATATGACATGTCCGTGTTCTTCGCCAAAAAAAAAAAAAAACAAATTGTTTATATTTACGGTATTTACTTTCATGCCTTGTTTAATTTATTAAATTATCATATTACGGTAAACATAATTTGTTAACAACTTTAAAATGTTGTTTTCAAATTAAATTAACATTTCGGTACTTTGTATTTTAGTTTCTGGTTTTGTTTGTTTTGCTTTTGGGGTTATTGCCACAGGTGTTTCGGCGATATTCGCAACGACCCTTCGACGACGCGTGTTTGTTTTTGCCTTGTAAAAACTAGTGTTTAATTTCTTGTGAACATGTCAAGCAATTTTTAGTTTAATTCGTTTATCTTGTTATGGGTAGCATCAAAAGAAAATTATAAGAAGAGAATGGATACAAAGTAAAATTTTAGATTGTATGAAGCGAGTAAAATTGCAGAGTCATTAGAAGTTAGAAAGTATCCGTTTGTTCGTCAACCCATATGCGAAAAATGTATGGTAAATATAGTGAATAATACGGAGAATGGGCCACGATGTCCTGAACAAATATTTTTTTTTTATAAAAAATCAGCGATTGTTTGGCCAGGACATCAAATACTCAATTTTGTCGGAAAGTCCCTTATGTTAGAAGCCCCCTTATGTCCAAATTCATTCTGAAAGATTTCGCTTTGGAAATTATGTTAGGAGCACTGCCCAGCATTTTGACCAGGGACATTTGACCAATATTTACGCACTCCGTCGTGCTGTTATTTGTTGTGGTCCATTTTACAGCTTAATATAATTGAATGGTCATCCCCGTCCTTAACTCTCTTCTCTTGAGTGTCGATTGGCTTCAATTGTGTGATCAGGATTTTTTTCTGTTTTTGGTTCATTTGAACCCTTAAATATTTTGCGATCATTTCCAAAAGCAAGAGGCCCCTCTGTTTCTCCAAATTTAGACTCTTTTATATGATTTGCTTGTCTATGATATTTGGCAATATTCGTCAACGAAATCAGCATAAAAAATAAAAAAGCTGTAAGTTCGGCCGGGCCGAACTTTGAATGCCCTCCACCATTTGGAATGAATTTGGCACTTCTCAAAAACAATAAAATCCGTTAAAAATTCTGTTAAAATATCAAAAATACCGAATGCAGCTTTTATATTAGGGTCTATACGACGACATGGACATGCATAGGTAAATTTTGTAATAAGCGTTACAATATTCAAATACGAAACTAAAAAAAAAATCGGTGAATAATGTAGCTAAAATCATCAAAATACTGAATATCGGGAGGTATCGTTATATGGGTGCTATACGAACACGTGGACCTGCACAGACAATTTTCTGTCTTAGGCTGTAGAATTTATTACGAGCTTCAAATACCAAATTAGAAACAATTCCTTAGAATAATGTCGCTAAAATCGTCAAAATACCGAATAGGGGGGGGGGTGTACCTTTATATGGGGCCTATACCAAAACGTGGACCTACATGATCCATTTTCAATACCAAAAGTTCTGCAGACATAATATACATTTGAGCAAAATTGAATCAACCTACTTAATTTCGTTCGGAAGCTATAGTGATTTCCACAGACGGCCGGACATCGCTAAATCGATATAGAATCTTATGCTGTGCGATCTAAAATGTATTTTTACAAACTTAATATAACCTCCATACTATGGTATAGGGTATAAGAAGCCAGATGTTCGCCTTTTGCGTATTTCGAATACCGCCTGTAAGTAATGTTGGTATTTTTTCACACAAAAGTAGTGGTCCATTCTACCAGCTGTCCCAAACTCTAACTTCATGCGAGATTTCGTGTCCTTGGTTTCTATCTGTGACCTTCAAAACGGCTGCAAAATCAGGACATTTTTAGTTGTTTGTCAATTTCAACCATTAAATATATTGCGGATATTTCTTTTTTTCTTGAGGATCGGATGATAACTGCAATCTATATATAATAACCCCAACCTGCGATACAAATATGAAAAAATAAAAAATTGTTGCAAAATACTACAAAATCTATATTATCATCATTATTGGCATCTTTTTATACGATTTTTGTAGATTTTATACTTTTATGCCAAGAGGGAATTCTAAATTGACAAAATTTGTCAAAAAAAAAAAAAAAATAAATAAATAAATAAATATATACTGACTTTGGTCGAGAAGCTCATGACAAGTGGATTTTAAAAAAATCCCCAATTACTTACCAGGAATTCCCTGAAAAATTAATATAGAAAAATCCTAGAAACATATTTTTAGGACATTCTTTAAACATGTCCAAATAATGATATTTAAAACAACCCATTGTAAAATTAGTTCTAATAAATCCTCAAAATATAAATTTTTAGGATATTCTCATGGTATAATCTTTAAACTTGTCTTGACATAATAAAGAGTTTTAGAAGGCCTCATTGTTGTTGTTATTGTAAAACATTCCAGTCAAATAAAATAATTTTTCAAATTTTATTTTTCAAACGCACATATTTTTTATTTTTCTGAAACATGGCCAAAATGGACCCTAATTCTCCAGCAAATGAAATGAAGCAAATGCTAGATCACCATGTCTTCATCGTTAACACCGATCGCAAATCTCTGTTCTCGCAAATTAAATCGATGGTCTCGCAGGCCCAGGATGTTGCCCTCAACGAGTTGAATCAAAGACGTAGCAACCTCAAAGAACTATTGGAACGTGAGGATAAAATCTATGAAGAGGAATTCGCCAATAAAGTAAAATCACGTATGGACGATGACAGAAAGCAGCGCAAGGAAATTTTGCTACAAATTAAAGAAGAAAATGCCAGAAATGAGCAGGAATTCCTGCAGAACAAGCGTGTGCAGCAGTACATGAACAGTTGTTATGAAATACGTGAAGCTGTGCGGCATCGAGAAATGCTGAAAGTCAAAGAATGTCAACAAGAGCAGATATTGGAAAAGGAGCGAGCCCTACGGCGGCAGCGGCAAGAAGATGACTATTGGCTGAAGGTGCAACAGCGAAATATGGCCGCAATGGATAGACAACAAAGGCAAGAAGAGTCCCTAAAGAAATCATTGACGAAACACGTTTCAGATACCCTAAAAGTTCAACTAATTGAACTGGAAGAGAAAAAGGAAAGAATGTGCCAAGAAAAACTGGAAGAAAAGCAGCAATTGGATACCATATTGGAAGAGCTGCGTTTGAAGGAATTCGATCGCAGGCATAGGGGTGTATCTTCAAAGATTTTGGAATATCGCAAAGAGCTTTTAGATATGATATCTAAAAAGCAAATACAACACCAACAAGAGCAAAAGGAACATTTAGAATACCACAAACAAATGCTGCAACAAATATCCCAAGAAGAGGAAAATGAAGCCAAGGAGTTGAGAGAGAAAAAGAAAGCTTTGCATAAGGCCACGATGGATTACATAAAATATGTCAAACATCTGCGTGACATAGAGCAACAACAACTGCAAATGTATGATGAACGCATGAATGATTTGTATCGCGTTGATTTGTGCACAAAACGCAATATTCGGCGCGAAAAAGAACGCAAAGCCCGCCTGGCAGAGGAATGTTTTGCCGAATTGCGCAAACAAATCCAAGAACAATGCGAAAGACGTCTACGCGAAGAAGCCGAACAGCGGGAATGCAAAATTCTCGAAAATCGTTTTGTACGAGCAGAAAAATCACGTCAGCAAATACTTGAAGAGAGGCATAGAAATCGTTTGGATTTAGATAATCAGATAAAAGTGTTGAAGAACATTCAAGCTGAGGAGGAATCAAAATTTAATAAAGATTTGGAGAGGGCATCTAATGATCCAGAATTTTGCTCTGAATTGGCAAAACAATATATCCGAGAGGACATGGATTATTTGGAACCTCATGCAAATTGGCGTTTGTTGACAGGCCCCAGTAAAACATGTTGTCCCACAACCGTAACTGTAAAAGGTCACAATAAAATGTCGGACGAGAAATTGAGGAATGAAAATCAAACCGATTGTCAATATAAACGTATTGATGGCAGGGGAGATGGTCCGATTAATTGAAACAAATATGTACATTATTGAATGATATTGTCTTTTTTTAAATATATGTGGGTGAACTTTGTGAAATGATTTAAATATGATGGTATTTCATATAGGATACAACATGGAGATTTGAACAAGTCAAATCGCTTGGAAAATATAAATAAAAATAGAAGCAGCAGAATACTATGAATACGGAAATTAACAGGTGGAAAATTAATTTGATGGATGAGGGGCCTTGTGGATTATATTCACCCCTATTATGAAAATAATTTCCCATAAATTTCGTTACCATTTCCCATTGTTGTTGTTATGAAGATTGTTTTCCCCAAATGACAATGTTCGAATGTGAATTCCCGTATTATGAAAAGAAATGGGAAGGAATTTCCTTCACATTTTGTAAAATTTATTCCCATTGAAATTGCCTGGGATTTTTTTTTTAATGAAAAATGTCTTAATGATATACGTGAAATTTGAAGAGAGTTGGCTGCTTATTTCGCGATCTGAGCTCGGTTATAGAAGCCGATCTACAATTTAGTACATCATGATCAGTACGGTTCGAAACAGATGGATGTGTAGAAAATGAGTCATAAACGGCAAATAATAAAATATTTACCTTGAGTGATGAGAAGTATATTTTAAGGCAGATCAAAAAGGATCCATTTTTGTGCACCGAAGCTCACAAATATTTTTCTGAAAAGAATTTGGGAAAATTTTGTTGCCCTCAAATAATAAGAAATATACTGCATAAGTCGAATTACAATGGAAGAAGAGCTAGACATAAATCTCTAATCAGCTAGCGAAATCAAGATGTTAGATTGCGATTTGCAAAGACTTTTCATTTTGTAACATTGTGCTGTTCACGGACGAGAGCGAATTCAACCTGCTTCAGATGGCAGACTCTATGTATGGAGAACAGCACATGAAGCGCTCCTTGCTAAAAATATGAAGCCTACAGTGCAGCACGGTGTTAGGTCAGCAATGTTGTGGGGTTCATTTTCAGCCTCTGGACCTGGTGTATTGTATTTTATTGAGGGTATTATGGATCAGACTATGTACAGGGTTTCCCATATTCGACGGACCCATCTGGCAACGCCATAACTTTTGACAAAGATGTCACATCGCTTAATGACATACCGCGTTTGAAGCGTCAGTCCAAGCAAATTTTTACCATGAACCAATACACGCCATGCGAGCGCTTTGAAATAGTCAATTGTGTCAACTGAAGTCAATTGTGAAAACTCAACGTGCTTTTAAAACATTAAAGAATGTGAGAAGTGCGCCTTCTAAGAACACCATTAAGCGTTTATACGAAAAATTTTCGACTGGTAAGGCTCTTTCTAATCCGAAGAGGCCATATAAAAGTCGACCAAGGCGATCGGCCGAGAATGTCGCTGCCGTACGAGCCAGTGTTGGGAGGTCCCCAAGAACATTACAAAAACGCCGTTCTCAGCAGTTGGGCATGGCTCGGTCCTTTTACAACGGATTATTCGCTTTGATTTGCATTTGTTCCCGTACAAAATTAAATTGACGCAAAAAATGTTGCCTGCGGACAAGCCTCGTCGATTGGAATGGGCCCAAGGGGTCCAAAGGTCCATCGAATATGGGCAACCCTGTACCTTAACATTTTGAAAGAAAGTTTGCCACTATGTAAGGATAAGCTCTGCAATGGCGAAAATTTTTTTTTTTATCAAGACTATGATCCGAAACACAAGGCTAATCAAGTGCGGTAATGACTGCTATATAATTGTCCCCACGTCATGGATACACCAGCCCAAATCCAGACATAAGCCCCATAGAGAATTTATGGAGCTATCTCGATGGGACCATACCATATCTTGCAAAGAAGATTTGAAGGAAGCTTTGTTGGAAGAATGGCGAAAAATTGAACTTAGATTTTGCGCAAAACTTTTTAAAAGTATGCCAAATAGGCTACAAATGGTAAAAAAGAGAAGTAAATATTAATGTCTAGAAATACTTGAACTTATACGAAGTGTACGAGATTGGCTTTGGCCATAGTTTATCAGTAGGCAGGTTAAGATCGTAAATATCGATCCATGTTTTCGTATAGCCCCCCATATAACGGTACATCCCGATATTCAGTATTTTTATGATTTCAGCGATATTATTTACCGGAATTATTTCAAGTTTCGTTCCAAACAACGACAACTAGAAATACATTTGCTAATTTTTATAGAGATCGGTCCAGATTTGGATATGGTTCTCATATATATCTCTTCACGTTTCTTGGCCTAAAAGGTTCAATATCAGCTCAAATTTTGATGAAAATCGGTTTAGTCGCATTTTGTGGAAATCGATTAAGGGGAGGATATTCTACCATATAATACTTCCTTTCGGCTTTCAAATATATCTGCTTCAAAGCTATAATAGTCATTCGAAAACGATCGTAAACTACCCATAATAACGTTTTTTTTGTTATGGGTAGCTCTACTAAATCTACAAATTGGAGTAGGTTATCATAAAGTTGGCACAACTTTGGGTCTTTCCTTGGTCCTTATTTTTTGTAATTTTGATCTCTAGTACTGCTCCTGGAAAGTGTTTATTAAAATCTTAGGTATATTTAAGTGCAGTTGATCCTTTTTAATACGCTTCGCTCGGGTACCAGGGACCGATAGACGAAAAACAAGCTTGTCTGGTCTATAATTGCGACCTAAAGAGCAGATGCAAATCAGGAACATTTTCTCCATTGGTCCGTTTTCCACACCTAAATATTTTGCCATCATCTCCAAAAACAATAGGGTTCTATTCTGACCCTAACCCCACATCCATTCTCTATTGCGTGAGGATCGGACCATAATTGTAATTGTAATTTTGATTACAATTTAACATGGACAAAAGGACAGACGGACTGATGAACATACATATCTTGATCGACTCAGCTCGGCAATATATACATTCCTATTTGCCGGACCAATATTTCGTGGTGTTACATACTGTAGTGCTATAGGGTATAATAATTACTAATAGTAATATTATTTTATTATTAAATAAAATGTAAATCTTACTCAGGACCCACCCGTTATTGCCTAGGGGTTTTTTCGGCCTTAAGCAAACTACACCACTTTTTATCTATCTTGATCGACTCAGCTCGGAAATATATACATTCCTATTTGCCGGACCAATATTTCGTGGTGTTACATACTGTAGTGCTATAGGGTATAATAATTACTAATAGTAAAATTATTTTATTATTAAATAAAATGTAAATCTTACTCAGGACCCACCCGTTATTGCCTAGGGGTTTTTTCGGCTTTAAGCAAACTACACCACTTTTTATTATAATTTAAAAATCAATATTTATTTCAACATTAAAAATAAACATTTTTAAATTGCCCCAACGCCACCTCCTTCGATGTCGACATCGTTTTTCTCCCTGTTAATGAACACCTTCATAAAGGCATCGCCATAAAAAATATCTTATTTTTAGCTAGTTCGAATATCTTCATATATAAAAAATTGGCTGTTGTTGAACACCTTTTAAAAACTTCTACGTGTTGTAATTAACGCATACGCCCCTTAACAAGCCAGCAAAACGCATAAATCCGCCTCTGCCATTTTGCACAAAAAAGGGGCACAGTTCGCTTAAAAATGTTTTCAATGACTTCAGTATTTTTTGCAAAATATCTTAAAGACAGTTCTTAGGCGCCATAAAAGGACGACATGCAATGTGCGTGTCAACGCAAAAATAACATTTTTAATTTTTTCCCCAATCTAAAATCGAATGTTAGTAGAGAGATACACCTTCAAATCGGTGGTATGTTGGTGTAATACGGTTTGAAATGTTATCAAATCAACAAAAAACTAATCGCAAAAGGCAAATATGATGTATTGGAACTTGTATGGGAAGGCAAAGGGAATTTAGTAGATGTTTGAGAAAATAGATTTTTGTAACATTGTTACAAAAACTAACTTTGTTGTAAAAACCAGTAAGAACTAGCTAAAAGCAGTAAGTTCGGCCGGGCCGAACTTTGAATACCCTCCACCATTTGGAACGAATTTGGAAATTTTCAAAAAATAAAATTCTAAAACAATTCTGTTAAAGTTTTAAAAATACCAAATATAGCCGTTATATTGTGGTCTATACGACGTGGACCTACATGGGCATGGTTTGTCATAAGCCATTACCATATTCAAATTCGAAACTTGGAATAAACGGTGAATAATGTATCTAAAATCATCAAAATGCCGTACATAGGGAGGTACCGTTACATCGGAGCGATACGAAGACCTAGACCTGCATGAACAAGTTTCAGTCATTGGCGATAGTATCGATTACGAACTTCAAAGACCAAATTTGGAACAATTCCGGTGAATAATGTAGTCAAATCATCAAAATACTGAATATGGGGAGGCACCGTTATATGAGGGCTATACGAAGACGTGGACTCGCACAGACAGTTTTCTGTCTTAGGGTGTAGTATCCATTTCAAATACCGAATTTGAAACAATTTCGGTGAATAATGTCGCTAAAATAATCAAAATACCGAATATCGGGAGGTACTGTTATATGGAGGCTATATGAAAACGTGGACCTACATAGCCCATTTACGAACTTAACCTGCCTACTGGAAAAATAAACATGTGTGCAAAATTTTAGCCTTCTATCTCAATTCATTCGAAGGATAGCGTGATTACAACAGACAGACGGACAGACAGACAAACAGACGGACATAATAAAATCGATTTAGAATTTTACGCTCATCAAGAATATATACACTGTGTTGGGTCTGACATGAGTATTTCTAGGAGTTACAAACGGAATGACAAAGTTTTGTTTGTCGATCCTGCCGTTTGGGGTTTCTATAAAATTTTGGTGAAGTGTTTCTTTACTTAAATCCAATTTTTTAGCAGCTTGTTGTGTTTTTCAAACTTTGAACAAGATAACCATATAACAAGGATAACTATCCTTTTTCTTGGATTTTTTGGGATTCTGTGTATAGAATGTATAGAGGCGCAACGAAAGTTTGGAGGTTCCCTGTCAATTTTTTCCACTGGATAATCATTATTTCCCCTCTTACATTTGGTAAAAGTTTTCG